AAATATAATTAACTACATAAAATTAAAATAAATAAATAGAATATATGAATGGGCTAAAATCAGAACGGTGTAAGTGACATTTCATAAATTCTGAGAATACTTTATTTAAATCAATATCACTAAAAGGTCGTCGTGCTGTGTTTCATCATTTAAACCACGGCATTTCAATTGTTCATTTGAATCATGAAAATTCATTGCAATTGAAATATAGCCTAAAATATACATGTTTTTCTCAGAATGTATAAAAGGTTACTTATACCGTTCTGATTTTCACCCATTCACATGATCTTCAAGAAACACTTTCTTCAATCTGTATTTGCTTCTTTAGGGAGGAATCTGAGCAAGGTTCATAAACGAGAAAATTTAAAAGCAAACACGATTCTTGTGTGGTGAAGATGATGAGATATCACGAATACCGCGAAACATGTACGGATTTGAAGAATTAAATTATGTGTGGGTAACCATTTCTTTAATTTGGTTATTCATATTATTATGATTGAAATCGACCTTTTTGCTGTTGCCTCTTCAGAGAAAATATTAATTTAGAATTCAGCATAAGGCGTTATTGGGGTCTAAGACACACTCATATTAGATAGATATTAGTAAGAACAACCTATTTTTTCCTAAAAGATACGGGATGATTTTCCGTGTAGTACTCCTATGCCAAGACTAAATGAAACTCAGACGCACTATTATTTGGTCCTTTTCGCCCTGTGTTTAAGTGTTAACTTACAGTACAATTTTTAAAATTGAACGGCTGAAATTCGATTTTATGCAGTTGAAGGGACCGTACTTATAGCATCCTTACGCCTCAGGGACGAGAATCAAAGTAATTTCGAATCTTTGCGATCGTCTTTTGAAAGTCGATTTCAATTGTACTCCATAAATTGTGTCACTATACATTTGAGCAACGAGAAACCGGATATTACTGGTTTGTGGGGAATATCAGAAGAAATATTGTTCTTCTGCACCCACCTATTTCTTCCATTTTATTATTGCTTTGCAAGTGCAGTTCATCCGTTCGGTATGCATAAAATGGGACTCTCGCCCACAAATTCGAAAATTATATTTAGAAAAACTCTAAAACCGTTGTAAAGAAATCGAATGTCAATTCTGCCAGTGATTTGCGAAAACAAATGCTATTACTTTTTCGCTACAGCATTACATATCGTTCTCTATACCTCTATACTACGCATATTACTCCTTATATATGTACGTATAAACGTACGACACTTTTAGATGTAGCACCCGCTTATGGGTGTTATTCTTACTGTAATAAACTATAGTTTAATGCTAATAAATTGTTTGTAAATTTGATGCTTCCCTTTTTCCTTCTTCATTGTTATTTGCGATCATAATTTTGATTCTGAATCGGTGTTTATTTTATTAAAAATATTTCAGAGCTAGAAAGAAAATTCCGAACTAGTCACTCTTCTTGATTTTTTCGCTATAAATACAACGGAGAACATTTCAGTTCCATTTCTGGAATTTTCTTCTAGAGCAACAACAAACCTGAAACATATATTGTAAATAACATGCTTTAATTTCTTCGTACGTTACTTAACGTTTTTTGGAGGTTTATAAAATATGCGTCCTCGCATGATATTTGTTACTAATTGAGTTAATTTAGTACTATCCAATAAGATTTGAATTGTCTTATACGAAGTAAATCAGTTGTGTCATAAAATATCAGTGTTGTAATTTAATTTCAAGTTTTCGAGATTATCGCAATTTTAGTTTCATATCAACTCTCAAATGAAATTATTACATGCTGCTAAGATTGCGCCTGATTAACTCAGTTTGCACCAGCTCTGACAATCTTGTACATAAGGCGACTTGCGAAAATTACTGAGACCCTGAACAAAACTGGCACAGGTCCAAAGAAGGGAGAGCACCCTTTGCTAACCAAATGAAACTAAACTCCTCGCAGTTGCTCGTTAAGTACCAAGACCTCCCAGTGGTTTTCGATTCACTTTCTGGTTATAGCGTTTAATTTAATACGCCGCGACAAAATGAAACATTTTGTCACTTAAAGTGGAACGGAATGTAATGAAGTCTACGTTTGCTCGCAGATTTAAACGAAATTCAACTTTTGAGATTTATCTAATGCGTTGGAGACATTGTGATTTGATGCTGAAAACTTGGTTTTAGCAGTGTTTTTCATCATCAGAGAAGTTGGTCTTCTCAACATTCGTTAGCTCTGATGCTCTGATGGCCGTTTGCCTAAAAAGGGCATTTTAATTAACTGTTGTGCGTATGAAATTAGTTAATTATGCACTTAGGGCGTTGTGTAGATGTTTTAGCCCTAGGGGTTGGAAGTCACCTGAGGGGCCTAAAGTCAAGTAAAGTTTTGTTGCATACAAATCTTAATTATTTACAAGTTAGTTGTTGAATCAATAAGAATTCGTATCTAATTTGCTACATTATATTGATTCAACTAAAAATTGTTGATATCGAGTATTTCTTTTTCTTCTTATTTAAGCCGTAAACCATGTTTAAGAGCTAAAGAATTCAAAAAGTCTGTGCGGACAGAATGATAAGTAAGGCCCGCAAGGATATGAATTGCATTGTAGTATTTTGTTTCTGGTCAATAAACAGGACGATGAACTAATAAACCAACGTTATCTACGAAATAAGTATCGTAAAACAGTTCATCATAACTCGAAATTCGAGACACGAAAATTGTACAACTTTCTATTCATTTTCTAAAAGTTATTATAACTATCGAGCCACTCGGGTGGCTCAGGGACAACGCGCTAGCGTTTTGTGGGGCTGTTCCGTGATCGACGGGGCAAAAATGAAGCTCTGGCTTTCAATAATACGTCGTCTCAGTTTCTAAGCTGTGTGGCGAAAGGAAAAACTGAGGCAGGTCAAATAAGCTAGGTACGGTGAATGGAATACGTCATGCTTGCCCTTACCCCTTCCCTCCCCCAGGCGAGGGCTGTCAACAAAAACAGGGTTCAGGCCTGGGAACATCGCTAAATGGCAAAAGTTGGGTTCATCCGACCCTAAAATACCAAATACATACATACTCTTAGTTTATATTTGACTCGTCATCCTGTGAAAGGTGACAAAGTGATGCTGATTGGAGTCCATGAATTATTAGAACTCTTGTATTATTTAAAAATTCTTATTACGAAATTGATTCTAGATATTAATAGTGAGGCATATTATAACTTTTGGAACCATATCTCAAGACAAAGGTGATTCTAAAACTATTATTCATTGTGATTTCAAATCTGATTTTAGTTTTTCTGTACCACGTACGGTTTTTGCGCAATTCGCATTTGAAATTTTAACTAAAACCGCATTTTTTATCAAGGAAAATTACTTTTTTCTTTAAAAAGTAAACTCGGTGTTTGGTACCTTGTGTAGAATTAAAATGTATTGCGTTAGAAGGGACAGTAATATTTTTTTACTTAAAAATGCTAATTGCTAAAACAACAGTTTAAATATTACGAATACAAAAGACGCAGGCATGGATAATTTAATTCCTCTTTTTCTTTTAATTTATTCCAAGTTCTTCAGAAGTGATGTGTAATTTCTCTTTCTTGATAGTCTCCCATCACTATTGCCTCCTCTGTGGCATCAAACAGTAATCATCCATCATGATTGTAATCCACCTGCCTTGATATCACTTTTCTATGTCTTTGAAGTTCTGGCGCAAATGTTCTTGTTCTTCACTGTCAATGTCGAGGTCCGCCGGTAAAAATTAGTATGAGAATGTAGAAAAAGAAGTTGTACTCTCATGCTGCAACCTAATTCAATGAAATTCTGCAACCGTGTTTTTATAGTGGGTTTGTAGTTTTAAACTTTGTTGTTGTCCAAAAACTTAGCCACAACTTGTTTATACAAAACCCAAGCCCCTTTTCCACGGGATTCATTGTACTTTCAAACAATTTTCTTTCATTAAATATTGAATCTGCGGGCTCTCACAAAGATCCCTTCTTTAAGTTTCTCATAAGAAACCTTCAGAAATCTGGTTGTCAAGTACTGGAAACAGTCCCCATCTTTTGAAAATGTTTTAGTTCAGTTTCATTAAATCAAGCGTGATTTGATTGCGTAAAGTATAACTGAAGTTACGTGTTGTCCAGTCTATAAACAAATCCACTGACATGCATCATAAGTGACATTAAATTTACTAAACACTCAATATCAAAGCAAAAAACTCATCCTGCCTTCCTATTTAAAGAATTTTATTAATTCCTTTTCTCTATTTCTGTGTCAACAGAGCGTTACACCATGTAGTAGAAGATTTTTTGTTTTTAGTCTTGAGGCAAACATCTTTTGTTTGATTCAAATCACGAGTTAAATCATTAAGTTCATTTTGACTTAATCATTTTAGTGCAGAATCTTCTTCCGGCTTTTTTTCGCTTTCATTTGCTGAGCTGCTCTCAATAACCTGTGGCATATATTCAAGACTGGTAGGTGGAATTAGAACAGGAGAGATTCGCTAAGCGGAACTGCTCATAAGGCGGAAGGGATATTCTGATACTTTCTTTCTTTTTGAGTTGCAAATGCAAATCTAAGCAAATGCAAAGTTGCGTTTTTACATTAACAATTTAAAAATAACAATCGTGTACACAATTTTGTGACTCCCTCCAAACCATTGGAATTGCATTTTTTCCTCTCGATCGATCGATTTTTTTTTTTACCTCTCAATAAAATCCCCCTTCCGAAAATTTACTTTTCAGTGAAAAATTAGATCTCTCTATTTGCAAAAAATCTGTACGTGATAGAAAAAAACTAAAAGTAGATTTGAAATCAGCGCAGAACGATGGATTAGAAAAATAGATGATTATAAAAAATATTGTTGCGTAGTGTTATTAGAACACTTGTGTTGTAGTTACTCTTCGTTAATAAGAGGAGTGTTAAGCAGAGCGTGTGAAGCCTGAAACGCGAGGTCCGGCGTGCGTCCGCAGGCGGAGCCGTCGGAGGAGGAGGCGGTGCCGTGCCGCGCCGCCGCCACGCTGGCCGCCGTGTTCCTGGGCTGCGCCGTGATGGCGCTGGCCGTGTCGGCGGCGCTGCTGGACCGGCTGCGCCCCGCGGAGCGCCAGGACCCGCTGGAGCGCGGCGCGGGCGCGGCGGCGGTGCGCGCGGTGCAAGGCGGCCCTGCGCGACCCGCGCCTGCGCCTCGCCGCGCCGCTCGCCGCCTTCACGGGCCTCGAGCAGGGCTTCCTCTACGCCGACTTCAGCCAGGTGCCCTGCGCAGATTAACAGAGAAACAGACGGACGTACAGACGCGTGGGTTAACGGACGGACAAGTAGACAGACGAAAAAGCATGTGGATGGACAAGCAGGGGAACGGACTTAGAGACAAACGGAAAAACAGTCGGACGGACAGACGCATAGATAAACGGGCAGACGGTGTAATCCCAGCGTGAGCTACTACTCCACACTTCGTTTATTTGCTTCCGGGGGATAGATCCTCGGAGTGAGCACCTAGGCATTTACTCGTTTATCCTCACTCCCCGCGACCAAAACGTAGGCTTTGAGCTATTGGAATCAGGATCCCGACGGACCGCAGTTATCCCTCTCGGAAACCTCTCCTTTCAATGTCTGGGTCGGGTCGCCCTGCCTGCTCAGAGTTACTGGCTTTCCAGGCGAGTGCCGTAGTCGAAACAATGCGCGGGACAAATCCCTCCTCTACGACCAGAGTATCGGGCCACTGCCGCGACGAAGCCGAGTGCCCGACTGGGGACCTCGGGCCGAAGCCCAGGGGGCTCGGGGCTCCCAACCCGCCTCCTCTTTACCTCCCCCCTGAAGCTATCGACGTCAGTGCCGCTGAGAGACTCGTGACTGGGTGGTCATCGCCAACTCCAGCTAGAGCCAAAGGTTTTGCGACCGTCTGCCCCCTCCCCCCCCTACAGAGACAAGCAGACAGGCGAATAAGCAAATGCATATAGGAACGGACAAACAGACGAATGAAGAATTCGATGGACAGACGAATGATGAAACTGGCGGACAGACAAAGGAACGAGCAATTGAACGAACGAACAACCAGGCGGACAGATGGACATATAGATATATAGCTAGATCTTTTCAGAACATTTAACTTATAGACTTTACGATTAAAGATATTATTTATATATTAATTATTATTGTTATATTTATATAATATTCTTACTGTATAAACATAGTTTTATAATGAAAATAACAAAGATTCTAAATGCTTATTTGCTATTCTATATAACTATTCTAATATCTTAAGTGGTTTTCAAACTTCCTTTCAAACACCCCATCACTATTCAACACTTCAATTCATTCATATGCTATTTTCCATCCCACATTCCAACACATCAGGACCCTTTGATGCAACTGAACAAGAAAAATTAATAATTGTGAATTTTTAAATCATAGATGTTAAATAATGTTTCATAGATGCTCAAATATTGCAGTAGCTGACTGGTCAAAAAGGACAGCCACAATGGAAGCACAATTTAAGGATTGGTGATAAGAAAAATTAGGAAGTGAACATTTTATAATACGCAGTTTTGTTGGAAAATCATTCCATCCATTCATATTACAATATTTAGAACTGACCTTGAGATCCCTATGTGACTCTGGTATTCACAATACTTTTAATAAATAATGGGTTTAAGGCAAGTAACTCTTCTACCACAGTATTCACCACCAACTTCTGTCAGAGTAATTTTCAGAAGATCTGAGAATCAAGTCCCTCCCTTCTCCTCCCTTACCATCTCACTCCCTTGTCTATTAGAGAGGTGGCGTATTACAATGTGACTCTGGTGACACAAGTCGTTAATTACTTTGAAAGTTTCTTTATTGCCTCTACTTTCATCCTAGTGTGAATTAGGAATGTTCTTGATTTAATTGATTAAAAAATATCTGTTCACAACAGAATCTCAGTTTTAATGTTATTGAGCTAAGTAATTCATCACTGTAAGACACATCAAACAAAGTGTTCATGTTGCCAGTTAAAACAAGTAGGGAACTCTTAAATGACTTCAATGTTTTATTACTAAAACTAATTTTTCCCTGTTTCAGTCATATGTTTTATGTGCTCTGGGTCTCCCAGATGTAAGTCTATCTTTTCTGAGTCTTGGAGCTTTACAATCTCTAGCAGCTGCCACATTATCTCTCCTTCTACAACATGCACGCCGTTGCTTGGCCATTGGTAAGAATCTAATATGTACACTAAAATATAGGTAACTTGAAAACTTACAAGTGTATTCATTTAGTTAATAACCTCAATAACCAATAACTTCATTTGCCTATTGAAGTTATTGACCTACAAAACTTCCTTGTTTATTAAATGAGAAAAAGTTAAGAGCAATTGCACTTGTACATTCATTACAAAAATATTCCAAAGAATATTTTGTTCCTTGTTCAAATATTCTAATAAATTCAACTACTCAATTGTTTTTAGGAATGCATCTTTACTTTGATCCCATTTATGCATTTAATCCCATCAATTGTGTTTTTGTTTTTAGTGGTTGGATTTGTTTTCCACGCATGTCTACTATTGGTCCTGATGTTATGGAAACCAACTGGAGATGATCCAGCTTTGTTTTATGTGATCGCTGCTGCTTGGGGTGTTTGTAATGCTGTTTGGGAAACACTGACATTTTGTGAGTGATTTTTTCTCCTGCTTAGTATTTCAATAATGTATTCATTTTAAGTCAATATCGGAGAGGGAATTGTATTTTTAATATAACTATAATGGAGTGTAGAATCAAAATCGAAAACATTCCTATAGGATGTTTGTCCCTCTTATTATTTTTTTTTAATGAAAACAACCATTATTCAACACAATATTATTTATTACCACTTTAGTAACAAGGAAAAATATTTTATAAATGCCAAATCTTTCTCAAACTACTTCTTGAGTAATGATTCCTGCACTATTTTTTATGGAAGAAAACAAACAAAGATGAGTGTGACCTCTCCCTTTATATTGGATACTTCTGCAGATGATCACATTACTGAGAGTAACACTTAAGAAAAGTCTGGTTCTCAATGCTTGGGTCAATACATTCATTAAAACACATAAGGCATATATCATGAAAAAAATTATCTATGAAAGTAACAAAATATCTGGGTATTCTTTTCAAAAGTTGTGACGTGTTTTTTTCAATTTTTAAAATTGTTTCTCCTCAAAAATTATATTTTACTCAGGGAGCATTTAAAATGTGTTGCAACTTGTAACAACAATCTTAACGAAACATTTTGTAACAATCTTATTTTTGCTTCATCTTATTTTAATTTAATTTCTAACTAATTTTAGTGAAAATGTTCTACTTGCTCTTTACTTATTACACCAATATTTTCCTGGAATCCAAATTTGAAAGCGGTAAGTTTTTGTATTAAATGTTATTCTAGTATTCAATCAAATGTGCAGTACATAAATAGAAACAATTTATGTATGGCACCATTTGCTGAATACTAGAGTAACATTCAGTATATTAACTTTCTGCCTGACATTTTAGGAAAATATTGGTACAATAAGTAAAGAGCAAGTAGAACATTTTCACCAAATATATTAGAAATTAGAATCAAAATAAAATTAAGAAGACTGAAATGAGATAAGAGAGTCATTGGAATATTAGTCAGTAGTTTTAAAACTTTAACAATTTTTTTTACTATTCTGGACCCAAGATACAATTTTTGAAGAAGACTCCAAAATAGGTCAAAACATTTTAATAAATAAATTATTGAAAAACAGTATTAGTGTGTCTGTTTTGAAAAAAATGTCATTATATTTTTAACATTATAACAAGTTATCAAATGACAGCATATTCCTTCATAATTTTTGTTTTAATATCAAGATTCCATAAAATTGACCTTTCAAATGAGAAATTTCATTTATGCAATTTTTCTCTGTAATTCCTTTACAGCATTCATCATGGATTTGTATCCTGATTCGTGGCAAGCACCTCTTGCTCAGTGCCATTGTTTCCGCTGTGTGGGATTGGCAGTTGCCTTCGGTGTCCATGCAGGTATCTGTAACTGGGTGAAACTCTATGCACTTGCTGGAGCCCTAGTATTAGCCATTGGTCCATATGCTTGGCTTGAAATGAAGTTGGATCTTCGTCGTAAGAACAAGATGGATTTAGCATCTTTGTGACCCTGGCCCAGAAGATAAACATCACAAAATTTTGAATTCACAAGATAATGAAAGAAACTAGAACATATATTGTCTCAAGGCAATTTAGTGTTTTGTATTGTAAAAAGTTTCTGAACATATTGGGACAAAAGAGTTAATGTATATGTGTCCGTATCACTTGGAAAATGATAATACATATGCTAAACATGTGTATCGTTTATGTAACAAGATGTCACATTTACCATTGTTTCAAACATGTGAAATAAAAAATTATTTGAAACAAGTTTATGGAATTGGATGATTCAGGTAAATAAATTGACTGTACTGAATTATTTACTTTCTCAGTGAAAAAATCTGTGCCATATTATTTGTATTTTTGATGTTACAGTAAGTGCAAATTCAAGAGATTTATATTGCAACACAAATTTGAAGTGTTGTAGGACATTTTTAATATGTAGAAGCATAGTATTATTGTTCTCAACATGCCTTCAAGCTTCTTTCAGATTTTGCAGAATCAGATGACTGATAGGTTATGGTTTGTAAAATACTGAGAGTGTTGTTTGTGATGAAATACATTGTAGTCCTCAGTATTAAAAAAGTGACAAATATTCATAATGTCTTTAGTGTTGGCTTTCTTAGAGTGTTTTAAAAGTTACCAAAAGTTTTATTATTCAGTTAAAATAAGGATACCTAGGTTTGTTATTTAAAAGATGTTAAGTCAACATAATGGAGACAAAATAGTGTAGAAATATAATAAAAAAATATAATGGTTGACATGTACCAACATTAAACTGTGTTTTTATTTTAATTGATATATAGTGGTTGAATTTTCTGAGATAAAATATTAAACAAATATGAGAACTTAAAAAAAAGTAGAAACAAAATGTAATGGCCTCTTAATAATTTTATAAAAATATCCTCATGCAGGCCCGTGAGGATGGCATAGATTCTCGTCTTTGAAGTTCAATGGGATATAAATATATATTTAGAACTTGGATACAGCTGGAACTGGAATAATTGTGTAGGACTGCCTCTATTCACTGATATATCAGTAAGTATATTAGAATGAATATTGAACAGAAGTATATATGCATCCTCTAATTAGTTTTGCAGGAAATTAATTAAAAAAGTAACAAGTGTACATGTTTGTAAAATAGATTATTATTTTCCATTTTTCATCAGATTGTCTACATACTCAAAAAAACTGTGTCAGTGATCTTGACTGCAGTGTAGACTGCAAAGTACAGCTCATAGGAATGGCATATAGGTGTTTACTTTCTGTGTTCAGAAAGTAAATGAACTTTATAAACCTAGACATTTTATCACTGCTTAAAGAAGAAACATTGAGATTTTACATTTTGACTATGTGTAATACACATTCTCTAAAACTTACATTGCAGTCAACACATATTCTATTACCTATGTTATTCATGATGTGAATGTATAAACATCAAAACTTCATGCAGTTATTTATATTATTTTGATAAAAAAAATATTGCAAAAAATTCAAAATTATTTTTCAGTAAACTGCTAATGTTTATCAGCTAAGTAGGTTAGGCAAGTAAGTGTTCAGAATCAGAAGGGATTTATGTATAGAAAGATCAATCAGTTAGGCAATGGCTTCTCATGACTCAGTAGCGCATTGAATATGGGTGCTCAAAGAGACTGTAACTTGATATCTGTTGGAAAAATTATGAAAAGACTAAAGAAGTTTACACATTTTTTAAATGTAGAAGTTGATCAACTAAAGGACTTATTTAGAGTAACATGTTCTCCATTAAGATAATATTTTCGTTTTCAGTGCCTTGCTGATGGAAACCATTGCCACATATGAAAACAATACTACGCAATGTTTAAAACTTTACAAATCCCTGACTCGATTGACATTTTCTTGAAACATACAGGCTCTTAATCATGAAAAATCATGAGCAATGGAGAATTTCTGATTTTTCCTGTTAGTGTTTATGATAAATCATTGTAAGAAGATCAACAATTATAATAATTTCAACTTCCTAATATAATGCACAAAATATTGACAATGGGGTACAATATTACAGAGGGTTTTTATTAAGAACTGTTATTTGTGTTCAAAATCAGAACTGAGTTTTATACTTGAATGAGTTAAAACTCAATATATAACTCTTATTTTATAACTATATTAGTGTTTAATAAAAATAGATAATAATGATATATGTAATGTTACTTTCCCATTTTGAACCACCACCAATATGGTTATCCTGACAAGTTAATAGTTTATACACCTAATTGCTGAGATAGGTTTGGCATCCACAGTAGGAATTATTCTGCAGTGCAGAGACAGGGTTCTATTTTCAATTCCATGTAGTGCATATGGCAATTGCAGAGACATATTTACAGAACAACATTCCTCGTTATTCCCTATCTTCAATTTGTGATTGTCAGGGACGCAAGAGAACAATTTTTAATCTTGTTTAAAACATGAAAAAGAACTTTAAGAAAATGAAAAATGTTGGATGAAGAAATGATGAAGAAGAAAGTAAAATAATAAGGGGGGAAAACCACATGGCCATCTTATTTCATATTGCATTGAAACAAGGGTATGTAGATGATACTTTTTGATAGATAAAAAAATGGAAGATTTGCCCCTTCAGGCATTACATCCATCACTGTCTGAATATTAGTTCATCATTTCAGACTTCTTCAATTAGTTATCTTCCAATTATTACCCAACTATTGCCTACTCTCTTTTTAATTTCATGAAACACTGTGACTTCCTTGTCTTCTCGTGAAACTAGTTGCAACTTCCAAAACTGTTCCTGGCTTTATTCTTTATCCTTACATACAGACTTCATTAAACACAGCTTTTCAATGATAAAAGAAAGGTGGTGATTGCAGTGCCAAAAATACTTTATTGCCCCTGTTGGCATTAAAGTGCCAAAAAGGACTTTAACATGCCTTGACATAGCCCAACCTTACTTCTTGTCCACGGCTATCTATTTTAAAATCAGACAAAACCTTACTTTGATGTAACCATGAAGAATAGCAATGAAAAAAATCATGAATCATAATATAAGTACTTTTATACAATTGTGGAAAAAAAGTATTGTAATCATTGTAGATAAACGGTGGAATGATACACATTTTATATAATATCTAAATGAAGTTTTTGCACCACTAGACTAATACTCATATTGTTATGATTTCCAAATCATCAATTTCTTGTTTTCTTAATAATTATTCATAGCTCTATAAAGACATGTAGCAGTGGATAATATGTTTGATGCTTATTTAGTGTTACTAAAGCCATTAAGTGAGTGATGTAATTCCACTGTTTTCCTTATTAAAAAGGTCCCTTAGATTTATAATATATAATTAGTAGGTTGGTACAAAATAGCTCTTGAGACCATTTTGGTGCTTCTCCATTTTTATGGGATATGTGAGATTTCTCTCAATAGCACCATCCCACAGAAGCTCTTAGACCTATTATAGTGAATGCACTAAGTTATCAGATAAGGTTTTGTGATTTGGGAAAAATCAGAATTTAGATATTATAAGGGATTTAGATTTAGATTTATTTAGTTAAAAAACAGTAAAAACTGTATGTGACATATGTGGGAGAAGATCATCTGAGTATGTTTCCTTGACTTCCAGAATTCCTTTCCATCATTTTCACTATACATAGTTGAAGGATGAGTAAAAGTTAAAGATAAATAAATAAAAAAAAAATTCAAAAAGCGTAAGATTAGCAACATTTGAAAACAAGACATTTTCATTTCCGAGTTATAGAAAACTTATTTGCAATGGTAAACGAACTGCAGATTTGATTTTTGTGCATTGCTAACAAAATAGTAACTCACCCTATCTCTACTCCTTCCACTACAAGCAAAAGAAGAGTTCATGTGCGTAGTGAATCTACATTTACGCCCAGAAGCAATACAAGGGGCATCTCAGCATTTGCTCTATGTATCAGGAAAACGACAAAAACCTGATTGAGATGGGAAACCTGATTGACCCAGAAGCTGAACTACATTATTTGTTACAATTATATTAAGTTTAAAAAAATATACAATACAAATGTAAATTAGTTCATTATATACTACTGTTTTGCTAAAATAAACATTATTTTTCTTTTTGATGATCAGTATAGTCTCTAATTGTATAGAAACAGTTATGCAGCAGAAAATATTTTACTTTTAACTTCAATTTGTGTACCAACATCAATTGTTTAATGCCATCTTGGAATGCGTTGTAAAGTAACATACGTTTATTGTATGTGGATTTCTGGTAGTGAGCTGTTAGTACTGACACTTGATGGACACAATATCTACGATGTGAGTTGTAATTATAAATATCAGTATTGCATGAAAATGTATTTTCACTATTTAGTAAATCAGTTTTGACAAATATTACATATTTGAAAATAAATAGGCAAGACAATGGTACAATTTGAAGCTCAATGAAGAGAGGCTTGCAGAGATCATGCTGATGGCATTTTTTCATTATTCAAATAATTTTCTTTTGCAATCTAAATGTCCAGGTACTACATAATGACTTTTCCCAGAATATTATGTCATATCTCAAGCGGGAGTGCACATTTGCAAAATATATGCAATGAGCTGTAGAAAGGCTGACAGAATTTGAAAGAGTTCTGAATGTGTAACATAATTAACTTAATTTAGTGTTTAATTCTGTTTTTGTACATTTCGTTTGAGGTTTGACTGAATTGAGAAATCTAGAAATTTTGTTAATTAAACATCAGCTAATTGCATATTGTTCATTTTCAATGGAGCATGTGATTGCTGATTTGAAGTTCAAAAATGCCTTGAAACCATTTTTCCTTCATTAACTATTAATTTATAATTACAAAACCAATTTGAAATTTCAGAAATCTTACTATTTATAATAAAACTGGTTCACAGGACTGGTCAGTGTGGGTAAAGAAACAATTAATTGTGCCAACATTTTGAAATATTTAATTTCTTCATCAGGGCTAAAGTATAAAAACTAAAGAACAGGCATGAGGACAACAAACATTTCAATAAATTGATTCATTAATTAATTAACTCTACATAAACCATAAAAAAAAAGTTTATAAATTAAGACAAATAAAACACATGTACTATTTATTTCTTTTTTGCAAAGAACATTTGTGTCATCAGCAAACAGAACTGGTTTTCCATTTTTAATAGACAAGGGCATGTCTTTTATGTATAACAGAAAGAAAATAGGTCCTAAGATTGAACCATGCAGGACCCCATATTCAATTAGTAAAGAATCGGAAAGATAAGTAAATAATGTCCTTTCTTGCCAGTATGATATTTCTATTCTTTGAGATCAACATTTATGGTACAAGGCTATCCAATCTAGGGCGATTCCTTGAATTTGGTAAGAAGGTAATTTTGATAGCAAGATGTGGGTCTGGAAAATCCTACCCATTCCAAAATAATACAACTGAAAACCCCTGTCTTTTGTGGGATTCAAACTCACAGCACTGCTAATCATGCTCTACCTTAAGGGCACAAATTCCCCAAATCCCAGCACCACTGGGCTGTAAGTCTTTTTTAGGATTCTTCCAATGTTATAATTTGTATCTGCATCTCAGATATTTAACCATTGTTTTATAAGCATTTTTCTTTCCTTTAACTTACATAGTTAAAAACGTATCAATAATAGCAGTAACTCTTAAGATGATACTATTACTAGTGGGTAAACAATAACATGCTCATTTCTAAGGAAGAATTTAAGAATGAATATAGATCATTAGTTAGCAATGATAGAGGCAAGATAATAAGATACATGAACGTTAAGCTGTCTGTACACATTGTATTATATTTTGGCCTTAGATCAATCAGAATCTGAATATTAATACAAAAGCATGCATTCGGTAATCCATGTGGTACATTTCAAACTATTTTTCCAGAAATCCCTGCTCTCTTCATTGTATTATTTTATATTTTTCTAAGACAATTAAGTTACTTTTATATGACTTCTTTTTCTTTTTATTATCTCTCCCTTACATTTAGAAAACCTCTAAATTTTTAAATCTTCTATCTTTATTTGCTTGTTCTTATGAAGGAGAACAAAAAATTAAAATAAATTAACACATAATCTTCACTATTGAAACCCAAAGAGCCAGGAGACTAAAAGAAAATACAAAATGTCAAAGGTTCAAGGATCAAGTACCACCAACAGAGATCAAATTACCTGTCACAAAAATATTTTTAATAAAATAAGCTAAATACGTTACTAGAGTGGAAAATATCCTCTACTCTAAAATTAAGTAACAGAACATAGTAATAACAGTAGAGGTTTATTTTAAACTAATCCAGAATCAAACACTAATACTTCATGCTATGTAGAGATGCTTCAATTACCAAATATTTTATGAATTACGAGAAAATATCAAAAACTAAAGACCAAATTGTCTCCACTGCCAATTAATATGAAATAAAATTCCATATTGCAAGTATCTATTACACAAGTAAATATCTTTTTTGATTGCAACAATCCATGAATTAAAGAAAAGGAACAAACGTTCACGTCCAAGATAGAATTTCACGCAATAATCGAATAAATAAAAGTTAATCCAAGGTTCCTTAGAAGAGGGGATGGAGCTGGGGCAACCTGCATTTAGGAGCCACATTAAGGAGCCACCATGGATCTTCTGTACCAGGCCTTTTTTTTTATCTGGGCACCCTTGGATTAATATACAATTTTGTAGAGCTTTCCTCATGGCACCTAACAAATATATATATATATATATATATATATATATAAATGGTTTAATGGAAATATAATTATTCCGAATATCTCTGCCTTATTATTTTTATTTAATTTCACATCACTAGCCAAGATTCTCTATGGAAATCCAGAATATTGTTTGGATGGCACATACCCTGTAAATTGTTTCCTTGTTCTTGTAACCTGACATTATTACACTCCATTCTTTGCATTTTTTCTGTTAGCAATTCTTTTTCCCAACCCCATCTAATGCATTTTGCCTGACCTTTCATATGAATCCCAACATATTTAATTCTGCTGTGTGATCCATTTATTTAAACAACTTTGCATCTACCAATCTTTACATGATTCCAGGGAAGATTTCCAATTTGTTTGATTATTTTCAAATCCACAATTCTAAAATTTTGCTAATGCCCAAATCACTAAGGAGTAAATTGAAGTCTTGGGAAAGTCTACTACTGAT